CAAAACAGAAAACATAAACAACAAAATAATGTCCGCTATTTACATTGTCAAAAGGTATTCGAAAAGCAGAGAAATTAAACTATAGAAAAGGTTGGATGGATTGGTCAAAAGTTTGAATCATGCGCATGCCTAGAAAATGAAATGCTGGGTGAAATGTTGGATGGAGTGGTCAAATGCATCCAACATTACATCCAACATTGAAAAACAAAATTTGTTTTTGACCGTGATCAAACATCATCCAACATCGATTTGAAAATGTTGGGTGACCCAACATGGGTGGTCAAACGCATCCAACATTTCGTCCAACATTGGTATTCTGCATGTTGGATGAAATGTTGGATGCGTTTGACCACTCCATCCAACATCTTTTTTTCTAGGCATGCGCATGATTCAAACTTCTGTATTGTTATTTGAGCCGAGGTGAATCCAGAGTGATTTGTGAGCAACTTTTTTTAAAAGTTATCGAGTGAAAAATGTAAAGCAAAAGCAAAGTGCAGAATGAAATAATCTAACAATTAATAGCTGGGGAAAGGGTGTCGGATTAGGATGAACATAGCACTGACGAGGAGAGTCACAGCAGGGATAGCGATCTAGATTTAGGCGTAGTCCTAACGGGAAGCTTTACGTTTCAACGTGTTGTTTTCGAAATCAGCTATCATTTTTCACTTTTATCTTACGTGCCTTTTTATCTTCTGTAAACAAGTGCTGCAAACATGTCGATGCACGGTGATGGAAATGTTGGATGAAATGTTGGATGAAATGTTGGATGAAATGTTGGATGAAATGTTGGATGAAATGTTGGATGAAATGCTGGATGAAATGTTGGATGAAATGTTGGATGAAATGCTGGATGAAATGTTGGATGAAATGTTGGATGAAATGTTGGATGAAATGTTGGATGAAATGTTGGATGAAATGTTGGATGAAATGTTGGATGAAATGCTGGATGAAATGTTGGATGAAATGTTGGATGAAATGTTGGATGAAATGTTGGATGAAATGTTGGATGAAATGTTGGATGAAATGTTGGATGAAATGTTGGATGAAATGTTGGATGAAATGTTGGATGAAATGTTGGATGAAATGCTGGATGAAATGTTGGATGAAATGTTGGATGAAATGTTGGATGAAATGTTGGACGAAATGTTGGATGAAATGTTGGATGAAATGTTGGATGAAAGGTTGGATGAAATGTTGGATGAAATGCTGGATGAAATGTTGGATGAAATGTTGGATGAAATGTTGGATGAAATGTTGGATGAAATGTTGGATGAAATGCTGGATGAAATGTTGGATGAAATGTTGGATGAAATGTTGGATGAAATGTTGGATGAAATGTTGGGCGAAATGCTGGATGAAATGTTGGATGAAATGTTGGGCGAAATGTAGGATGCGTTTGACCACCCGCTGAAAAATATCAACGAACTTTCTAATTTTTTGGGAATAAATGTTGGATGCGTTTGACCGGGGCTTTAAGTAAGTAAGTTTTCTGGCCGTTGACAAATTGGAAAGCAGCAAATTCTTATGAATGAGTTTCTTTTCGGCCTTTTGTGTCTACGTCTCTCTAGAACAGAAGTTTTGACAACCTTATCGAAACCGTAATCATTTAATTTTTTAGTAAGCAGTTTTTTACGAATAAAGGACGTAACTGCATTTTCTAACGCATAAGTAGATATTCGATGGCAGAAATTACTAAAAAAATTTAATGAAAAGCTAAAAAATGAACAAGGTCAGATAGGTTTACGCTGGTTGTATCAAAAACAAGAAAAGGATTTTTTAATGAATGTTTCGGTTTGGAGTGCTGCACATATGCATCAAAACAGTTCACTGAAAACTTTTGGACTAAAAATGTGTTACTTACGACCAACTTGAACTTTTACTTCCGTTGATATCTTTCCTGCAGGACCTCCATCAGCAACACATCTTACTTTGGTCACCCCTTTTTGAAGATTGTAAAAACGCAAACGACTGCTTATTGGGAGGTTTGTAAAATTCCCGGTTACCTCAGCATTTTGCCCAACTTGATTATTTTTATCATCGTAGGTGCCACATGTCAGCTTCGGAACAGGGTTGCCATAAACATAGCAAGTTGAGCTTAAAGTTTCGCCTTGTCTCAGTGCAAATATAGTTTGACCAGTAGAGGACGTTGTTCCTTCAATCAAGCAGTTTCGGAACTCAGGTACCTCTGGAATAAATATTCATTAAGAATTAAGAAGACATTGTGTTAACAAATGCAAGTGTTACCTAGAACAATTTGGGCTGTTTCAGTTCCTTATATAGTCCCCGGAGTCCAGAGTTTGCTTCTAAAAAGGTCTTACGTCACGAATGGAAAATTACATTTTGGTGTTCCACAGGGATCTTTCCTTGGACCTCTCCTATTAATAACTGGTATCGACGAGTTTCCCTTTGATCTAAAAAGCTGCCAGGTAAACAGGATCTCATCCTCTACAAAGAGTATCAACGACTTGAAGAGGACGCTAAGAAAGCGCCTTTTCTTTGATAAAATCTTCATACTTTCTTCTGACCAGTCTTAGCAAAATCCATCCGATTATGTTTGGGCATATCTATGTGGTCCTTTTTTTAGCCAGGGTTGGCTCCATAAACTTACAGTTACTGCAAAGCACAGTAGAAGAGTATTTTCGGTTGTAGGGATAAAGTTAGATCAACTTTCAAGGGAATTATTTCCCTAGATCTTTACAGTTATTTTGGGTTCGATTTAGCTTTCAGAATTGTAGAGCAATATCGCGTAACTGCTTGAATATTCTATTTAAGCATGGAATTTGGTTACCACTTTCAGAAATGTCGCGAGTAAGAATAAAATGGAAAAAGCGATCCAAACCAAATACAACAAATTTATAGATATAAAATTAACCACAATTTTCACATCATATTGTTCCCTAGATCAAACGAAAAACCAAGTCTAGTCCTCTAGGGGCAATTAATTCTATGCTTAAATATCTATTGAATACTCTAACGCAAAACAATACGATCCAAAACACCACAAGCAAAAGACAAGAACAAACAACGCAAAACATCACTGAACATTAAGACCCCGTTTACACTGTGCCGGATAAAATTTATCCGCATAAAAGTTGTTCGGATTGATTTGCATTTATGTACACTGTGCCGCACAAATTTTGTCCACTTTGCCCTCCCGTTTACACTGTGCCGGATAACTGCAGACACACGACCTAAATCATGCACAGAACGCCCAAAATGAAGTCTTCTCTGGGCAACAAAGTAAAAACAAAATTCCCGCCAACGTAAAAAGACTTCATTCTCTCTTCAGAATCTTTCATCTGCTTCTCTTTTAGACCAAATCCAAAGATATTTTCAATACAAATTAGGCATAGTTTGTTTTAATAGATTGTTCTTGAAACAAAATGACACTGAACTAGCAACGAAAGTAGGGAAAGCTGACAAGGATGCCAATTTTACGTGGACTGGCAAGATACTGCATTTTTAACACGAGTACTTATCGACAACAAGGCAGCCAAGATGGCGAAAGGTCTCGATTGGGAGACAGTAAAAACTAAATTGGATGAAATAGCCAATCGCTTTCGAGCAAGATACGATGTGGATAAAATTTATCAGGATAAAAGCGTTTACACTGTACCACATAGCTATCCGAACTAATTTAATCCACTTTCCTAGGTGAACTAATATTGTTCGGATAGCCACTCTTAAATTCGTGCGGATAGCGTGGATCTAGTGTAGACGCGACGCCTATCTCAACTAATTTTGATGCGGATAAAATTTATCCGCCACAGTGTAAACGGGGTCTAAAGTGTGACAAGAAACATATTTCAATTTCACTTACATTTCCACCCCAAAGTTGATTCATCAATAATAATTAATCTTCTCTAAACATTTGTTGCCGCTCAAATAACAAATGTTGTTGAAACTTTGAGTACAGGATTTGATATAAAAACATCAGATAGGTGAATTTGGGTTAAAAATTATACTTGAATTGAAAAGGGGGAAGAACCTCAAGTCAAAAAATTAACTTTTTGTACGGCGCCATTTAAGTTAATGTGCAAAGATAAGATGGGAGATCTGAAAATAATGAGCCGTCGAGGATTACATTAATTGTTGAGGGATTATCCAATCTTTTGCGAGGTCTTTGGTCAGCCTCCCATAGCCCCCCCCCCCTAGCAATACACCCCTGGGATTTATAGAAAACTTTTATTCCACATTCAGGAAAAAATTTGCTATCATAAATAAATTGAGTGAAACAGCATTTTCACAAAACTGTTTGAAAACGGAGAAAACTACTAAGCTTCAAAGCACTGAGGGAATAAAGCTAGTTGTGTCCATCAAGAAGACTGCAAGGAAGTAAAAAGTCAGGGTAGAAAGTCAGCTTAATATGATGACATTTTCAGAGAATTTATATTAGAAAGATTGATGAAAAGGGGCCCTGCATAAGCTTCATATTTTGTGGGCGGATGAGTTTTTGATATATTGTAAACTTTCCGCCGAAACTATATTACATGTTTGAATCTTGACGACTTCCTCAGATACTGAAAACTTAAATGAAGTTAACTAAAGTTAAAAATGCAATGCATTTGGTAATTTTCATTTTGAAAACTTGGTATTACGGTAATATCAAGATATTCTTGCGGAATTTCGGTAATAGGGAAATTTTCTTGCGGAATCACTGTATTTGATACCCCCAAAGACCACCCTTTTAATGAATCACTCTTCAGCTTGAGAACATATATGAGGGCTTTAAATGGTCCAATACTGGAACAAGGTTTGGTTGTAGAAATGGAATAATTGAGTAATTAGACTTTCACAACAATAGTGAGAAAATTTCTTTAAAAAACTAAATCGGAGGTTTTCTTGAACTTATCATATCTGAACATGCCATTTACAGTGGCCAATGTTTCTTTAAGAGGAAATGAAACTGCAGATTTAGACCATTTGTTTAAACTAATTTAAATGTACAAATTTTTGAAAATTAAAAATACTTTAGTACAAGAATGCATAAATATACAAACCACATATTTTTAGCTTGTAAAATCCACTGTAATAAGGGGTAGAATCTGATGCAAAATATGTGCAAAGAACATCTTTTGCGTCGCCGAAATCAAAATTACGAAGCTGGAATCCAATTTTTCTTTGCCCAGGATCATCAATTGCTGAAGCTCTGCCTTGAAATTCTGGAGCCAAAGAAGCTGCAGCAGTACCTTCCTTTTTTATCACAAAATCTGATAGAAAGCCACATAAAATTCTGCCACCCTCAAGACTGCTAATGTTGTATGTCCAAGTAACCTCGATGCTCTGAGATTTGTTCCCAAACTTATCAACAAAAGTTCCAGCAGCAGGATTGAATGACTGTCCATCTACAAAAACCACATAAATATGATTTTACAACAGAAGAGTACAGTCTTTAATTGATATTCCATTGACACTCCAGATGCATTATGTTGTCATCAACAGAGCTGGTGTGAGCTGCCAATCATAACAACACTTGAGACAGGAGAAAATGTTAAATTTAAAGTGTTCCTGAAGGCCTTTCTAGGCCTTATCTAGGGAGTTGATTGCCCTTTTCTTTGCCCATGCCAACACCCTCGCAGTACCACTTAAGCAACCTAATAACTGCACTGAGAAAAATGTGTCTCACTAACCAAATACAACATGCACAGGAGGAATATTTGACAGACCATAATTATCATGGAGATTGCAATAACTAAACCTTTTGAAATTTCGTCACAATGTTTAATCAGCATTAGGTTGTATGCTTTTGGTGTGTACTAAATTGCTCTTTGTCAATTTATATATATATATGCCAAGCCAAAAGGGTGTTGTTGATTTGAGAGAAGCATATATCATCCAGCATGTGAGCTTATCAAAAATGTTCAAAAGTCAGGTAGGTTGGCATATTGTTCCTAGCAGAGATGTTAGTGACTCTCAGGTGGGGGGCAAGCACAGTTTCAAATGTTGAAAGCCTGGGAAGGAAATTTAAATCATGGGAGTTTAAAACAGGAATAGGAAACATTAAATTGTTTTGGTGGAAATTTCTGTACATTAGAATGACTAAATGCATAGACTATATGGTGGTGCCATAGTCAAATAGAAAAAACCTTGGCCTGGAAGCCAGGCCTTTCCCAGAGGCACAGGCAGAGGTGGAAAATTTTTTTCTTCTTTCTGGGAACCTAAGAATCTGGCTCAAAACTTTCTGCCAGATTTAGGGGGTAGACAAATAAACTTTATGTTTGTGCTACAACATCTGTAGCACAGGACAATAGCGACGTCTTTCAAGTGACACACGCTTCGACTTTCTATCATCGTGAAACAGCGGCAACAATTCTTTTGGCAAGGCGGGAACGCCCCGACGTTGCTAAAACGAGGAACAAGCGGAACAACCTAGTAACAAGCGGAACAACCCAGTAACAACCCAGGAACAAGCGGAACAACCCAGTAACAACCCAGGAACAAGCAGAACAACCCAGTAACAAGCGGAAATGTGAAGTTATTGTTTTGTAAATAACATATGGGGGCGTTTATAAGTCAACTCTCTAAAGTTCGTGTGGGCTAGCACGTGCACTATCAAGAGGCCGTCAAACACTTTCGTTATGTAATTTTTTGGCAGTTCGCGGCCATTTTCCCTCCTTTTCACACAACCGTACATAGTTTGATGGATCAGAAAACCTGTCGTTGTGGTTTTTCACTCGAATCAAACACCGACATAGCAAGGCAAGGGCTGGTACACAAAAAGCCCAAATTGAGGGGTCGAAAATTGAGGTGGGGGATAATATTTAGAATATATTAATGGCAACCGAAGGGGCAAAAGGACCGGGGGTGTGGGGGTGTCACACCTCCCCGATAGTATCTCAATGAGAAATTTCAGGTAAAATCTCAATAAACTAACAACAAATGTTGCCAAGTTTGTACGAGAAATAATCAGACAAGGCAAAAAATTGGAAATTCTCCTGTGAACTGAATCAAAACTCCATTTCTAGGCATAGATTTTTACTCATTACTTTTGATTGTACACTATTAATTGTCGCATTTTTTATGTTCAAAATACAGTCACACCAAAATGAAAAAAATAGAATGATATCTATAAACCTACATTTTCAGTAGAGATTCTTCCGAGTTTCTTGTGAGTTAATAACAATCTTAAAAAGTACGTCTATTGGGATGAAGATAGATTTTCAAAAATTAATAAGGACGGGCCATTCTCAAAGAAAACTTGTGAAACCCGAACCTCTTTTTATCTAAAAATAGTCCCCTGCCCGTTTTAACTACCTTCCCCGACTATTTTAGTTCTCAGAGCATGAATCCAATCTTTTCTTCACGCGAATACTTAGTAAAAAGTCTCGAAATTCTCTCCCCGGGGCTGACATGACGTCAGCATTTGTCGGCCCCTTTGAAAAAAAATGATGGTAGAGATTTTATTTTGACCCGGAGTCAAAATAAAATCTTCAACGATGGATCATTATCGCCAATTAAGCGGATTAAAAACGACAGATAGCATCAAACTTTTTTCAGCAATTTAGCCTTTTACACGATCGTTGTCATTCATCGCGGTCCAATATCGAAAAAAAGTTTAAGGAAAAACGATGGTGTAAACCCGCCTTAATACAGTTGCGGAAATTATCAATACCTGAACTTGTCTTTCAACGATTGTTTCCAAATTGAAATATCAAACTTGTGAACAACGTCAAATGCCTAAGAGTTCTAGTGGATCAAGAACTCAAATGGAAAAGACCCCAAAAAGACCTAAAGAGGTATTAGCATTCTAAGGTTTACAGAACAATCTCTACACTACCTTTCTTTCCTAGAAAAAGAACTGTATAGAATCACGGCAGAGCCCTATTCAGTTACTGCCGCAGGGAAAGCATAATGGGGAATTGGGTGGGTAGCAACCTCACCTGCAAATTCCTAAGAGGGACAAAGGGACCAAATGTGCCCTTGATATCAGCCCTTTCTAATCACTAAAGAAATTCATATAAAAGCCTTGTTGATGACAAAATTTCTCAAAACCTGTACAACCATCTCTTATAAGAGCAGTTAACTCATTTACAAGATACCTATACGAAACCAAAATGAAAATACAATTACAACAGAATCAATAGAAGCTGGGAATTTTTCAGATTCCTTTTTATTGAAGCCTGCCCCCTTGCCCCTTGGCCGTTCTGGGGTCCATGTACTGCTGCCTGATTTTTGGGGGTTTTCGTTAGACTGTAACTTTTCTGCTATATAATTTTTTCACTGTTGTAATATCTACTAGATTTGGTTAACTAGTTCTTAATTGAAAATAAAATGAAAATGAATTGAAAAACACCATTGTCAGTTGAAAAATCTTTTCATCATTTTCAAGGACTCAGAGTGATTAATTTGCAATAATCTTTAGTTGAGGACATTCTCCTGAATCAAAAAGGTTATTGGAATAATGATTTCCGGCAAAAAAAAAACCGGATTTGATAATGCAAAATTCAACTGCTTCCCTATTTGACCCCGAAACTGCGAAGGAGATCTCTATGTAAACAAGGGCCTAAATTTATGTGATGCATTGACTTGATATGAATTTATCAAATAATATACATGTATTTCTAACATGCTAAATGGTGTTAACAATAGATTGGATGATTTTACGCCCTAAAACAAGATCAGTTCCCTGTTTCGTGTTTTTTCCTTGCTGTTTTTGAAGATTTCCTATTTGACCCCAAACAGCGTTTTCCCTATTTGAGAAATCTTGTAACCTTGGTGCAGGATGTTTGAAATTTGGATTGATATGAAGAGAGTGTGTATTTTTCTTGGCGATTACTACCTTTTGCTATTTATTTTGAATTAAAACGATGCTTTTTTAACGAGTTTTGTCTATTTGCTGTCGTAGCTACGGAGGAGCCAAGCCTCAAGCTAACGTAGAAGCAAAACATTGCAATTTATACTGCTAAAAATTACTGTAGTTGAATTAAAAAAGCATCTTAAAGGTAGTTTGAAGCATGCCGAATCCGATTTTGAGGTTTGTTTTGAGATAGCAGTCCAATGTATGGAGTTATTAACGAATTCCCTATATGACCCAGAATTTCCCTATTCGACCCCGTTGCCTATTTGACCTCGAGCGCTACCAACATGATTGCGAATGTGGCCTACTTTTCTCAAAGGAACACCACTGTGTCGTAAATAAAATCTTGTTTGAAAGATACTTTGTTTTGCAGTCAAAACTACTGAATAAAAATCCTAAACAATGTTAAAATCCTAATGATCTGACGTTCAAATAGGCCCACTAAACTTGAATAGGTACTGGAAGTTTGCCATTGAGTTCTAAATTGTGACGTCATCGAAAACCTATTTTAAGAATTTTTGAAATTTAACCACATAAAATTAAAGATTACCATGAAATACTTTCAAATATGCAAAATTGGCCAAATATGTCTAAAATCTGCTGAGATATGGCCAATAAAAGATTTGAAGTTTTCTAACGAATCACTGTTATTTTGGCTCTGTTCACAAAGTTATGAACAGAGACCAAAATACAGCGGTTTGATGGGAAAAGAGCCATATCCCTGAAAATTCGTAACACAATTGACTCATTTTTCGTATTTAGAGGTATTTCATGATGCTCTTTTAGGTTATAGGATCCAAATTCAAAAATTTTAAAATTAGATTCTTGTGACGTCATCGCTTTCGAACTTTATTGTGGCGGAATCGCGGAAACTTATCGGCCAACGGGCGTTGACCTGACTAAACCAATATCCGCAACATAACCGCCATCTGGAAATCGACCACTTTCGCGGTAAAATTTTGGTGCAAATCACGCTTTCTTATTCCTATCAATAAATTTAATGCAAATCCTTCGGGGTCATTAACAGGGAGAACCATCCCTGTTCTGCTAACCGCCATTTTCAAATTAGTGCGGCGTGCATGGTTAACAGGCTTCTCAGTACGTTAATATCAATAGCAAATTGAAGCATACTTTGCCAATCAAAATAGATAAACTCATGTCGAATGGAAGGTGTAATTTACTTTCTGCTTAGTAATCTCTTTAAAAACCTCAAGACATGTATGTACATACCAACTGAGAGTTTCCCATGAAGTGCGGCAAGTGTGCAGAACAATATAATTTCCAAAACCGATCGACCCATTTTCGTTGTTAGCACGATACTCTTCTGTGATTTCCAAACAGAATGACATTCAATCTTTAAACGATTAACTAAGATGTCTGATTTTCACGATGTGTGCTACTGACAAAAAACCCCTAGAATAACACGGTCAAACCTTCCTCGATCGAAGATACCGCCCACTTGCCTTTATTCTTTTTACCGAACAATTGTTAGCGCCCAGTCCACAGACAGCCATGAAAACAAATGGTGTCTCATGCTATTAATAAGTCATTCTTTTGAAGGTTTGGAATCCTAGAATATGCCAGAAATCTGTTACACTCTTTCTCTGTTAGAACGATTTTTATAAGAACACGAGCATCAAAATTGCTCAAAAGTTAAAGAAAAATTCAGTAAGAGCTGAGCTACTGTAAAATGCAATTTTGAACAATGTTTTATATCAAATTCGAGGACTTTGAATTTCGGTGAATATTCAAATTTATCAGCAAATTAAGGTCTGAACACCTCCCTAGAGCGAAAAAGCTAGCAATCACACTGCTTACATCCTATTAATTTAAGAACAAATAAGAACATTCCAGGCTAAGATTTTCGAAAAAATTAAGAACAGTCAGCCTGAAAGTAAATTTACTGGTTCTTACACAAAAGAGTGTAGTGAAAATGAAATAAATTTCTCTCTATATCCGCCCGTACTCTTTGTACGAGTTTTGGATACGGTTAAAACTGATCGCAAACTTTTTAGAGGGGTGTAATCTAATTATGTTCAGTTCAGTTTCATATCAAAAATTCATCTGCATGCAAAAATGCAAAGCAGACTAACCTTCTACAGGTGTTTTTAGAAATGTGCCAAAAAGCCCTGTTCAGGGCCGGCAAAGCTTATATGAAAGGGTAAGGGCCAAAAATTTAGGTTACGAAATTTGTGAAAGGGTTTAGTAAATGGCGCTACCTTAGTCCTTAGTTGGCGGGAAGGCAAAGTTTAGAAAAATAGGACTCTGGGGATGGCCAGAAACTGCATCTAAAATAGATTTTGGCTGAAGGAAAAGAAGAGACAATGTTGCTTCGATTCAAGAGAAAGGATTTTTCGTAAATCAGCATTGAAATGATACATAAATCTACTCTGTTTTTTATCTGATTTGAAAAGCTGAATTTTAAAAGTACCATTCGCACACCAGTTACCTGAAAGGCGTGACACCAAAATCCAGTTATCAGTAACAACTCCCCCAATCCTTGCCCTTGAAATTTGCTCCAGCTGCCGATTCTTCACTTCTTATATTCTCAAAAATTTTCAAGCAGTTTCTTTTCCTTCGACAGCTGATTTTTCATTTTTTGTAACCATTTGAGAGTTTGTTTGTTAGTAGACCTTATGAGTCAGGTTTTGGCCCCAGAAAAAACCGAACTACTTTTTTTAGCATCAAGTTTATTCTGGATCAAGTTATTCGATCAATTGCCAAATATATGCATTGTACAACTTGGAAAACTGCCTATTCCTTCGATCAAATTCCCATATCCAATGCTCTTTATGTCTTCTCCTGTAAAAACCTACTAGCCAAGCTTAGGTAAAGACATTTTTTTAAGAGAATACTAAGCACGCAAACGTATAAGATGGTTGACTACATTTTTGCAGATTTTCTTTAAAACAAATTATTTTGCTCTAAAGCGAAGGGAAGGTCTCGCAGCCACCGGTCTTGCCGGCCCTGCTGTCAAATAAGATATGTTGTTTAGCAACTTGAATCCATAGGGCTCTGCAGAAGGAGGCAAACATACCTGAAAGGGATATGGGGGCAGGACACCCTCTGCATACATATAATTCAACCAAGATTTTCGTATTTCAGGTAAATTTGGTATCAAACGCCCGCTTGAGAAAGGATATTGTGACGCCCCTGATAAGCGCAAGGCATTTTGTAATCACTCATAAACATTAGAAAGCTGAATCAGGGGCCGTACAAATGGGGAGCCGCAAAAAATTGAGTCCCTTATTTGTAATATGCCTTTTTATGTTTATAGAGACGATAAATGTCCCTTGAAATATGGCGTCCATCTCAATTAGCATTTCTTCATTCACGTCTCCTTGAAATAACTAAATATTCTTGAAACCTATGACATAATAAAAGTTCGTTGGATTATGTAAGGCTTTCATTGGATGTTGATGAGGTATCCAAAAAACAATGGGCGTGCCTTTGTATATGAATCAGGACGGTAAACGACGGTACTGAAAACGAAAACATCTTGTTCTGAGAGTGTCCGTTTCCAAGTGAACGCGATGTAGCCTGGTGCCGGGTGACAGTGCGCGAACAAGAAGGCATCCCGTCGCAGTCACAAGCTCTCATGAACGATGTGGTGCGGTGGGAACCAGTGGTGGGAAACTAGCTACGGAGGGTGCGCACGTTCGCAACAACCTTTCCCGGGGCTGGTCGCGACTAACAAATGGCTTTGTTATGATAATAAAATTAATCGAAATTTTTATTGTATATGTTAATTAGATTTATTTCATTCTCACACAACAAAGGTAATTTCTCATAACATCGTATTGTTCTCTGTCGATTTGCGATTTCCTAACAGTGATTTCACAAAGCGGTCCTATATTCTACCTCAACAAATGCACAGGCTGTAGCCCTGTTTACACTACAGAAACCTGGGTTCGCCCTAGGTTAAAACTAACCCAGGTTAGATTTGTGTAGTGTAAACACAAACTAACCCAGGTTAGCCCCAGGTTAAGGCCTGTTTATATGAGCCGGGCCAGCCCGCCTGACCGAGCTGGCTCGCCTAGACGAGATGAATTTTAATTGCGTTTATATGAGGCAGAGTTCATCTCGGCAAAGCGGGATGGCCTCGTATTGATTCAACTGATAGACTCGAGTTGATATCAATTTTTGGCGCGCTTGTTTTGTTTTTGATTGAAGAAGTTTTCAAGCACTATTCAAGCACCACACAAAATGTCGAGAAACAAAACGATTATTGCTCTTTGGATTTTAAAGTTAACTGGATTACTTTTGATGATTTCCCAGTTACATGGCTTGATGCTATTGTGTATTGCCTTGCAACGACACATACAAGAGTTGATGATTGCAGTGGAGCAACGAAAAAGAAAGTTTTGCCGAATCTCCTTTACCTTCTCCACAACTCGTTGATGTCCTCGTTGGAGATAACTGTTTAACAGTTTTTTCTCTTCAAGAAATGATCTCTTTCATCCTTTGATAATTCCTCTAAAGGCAGATCTGACGGCAAGAATTTCCACTGGTCCAAAAAATTCTGCTTGTTCCTGGTAAACCTTTACCATTTCCTTTCTCACATTTTTATACTGCATTGGCCTATCACCATCGAAGTCTAGGCCTTTGAACTTAATTTTAACTTTGTACTCTCTCAAACATTCTATAAGGTTTCGGACCATTTCCGTTGTCCAGCGAAATTATTTTTTTTTCTCTGGAAGTCCACTTGGCATTGATTCTTCACCTTCGGTATAAGCGAACGCTGACACGATGAACAGATGAAACAGTGAAACGGAGATCGATGCGAATTGCGAAAAGAAAATTTGATAAACAAAGAAAATTTTGACCCAACACAACACAGTCACCCTGCGCTTGTGCAGAACATGCATTTTCATCTCGGTCAACCGGGCCAGCCCGCCTGGCACTGTTTATATGAGCTCGCCTTACCGGGATCCCGCCTGCCCAACTCACAGATCCCGGCTGACCGAGCTGGCCCGCTGCTCATATAAACGCAACTTGATTGAACAAAGGATGTTATTGTTTACTCAGATCTCGCCTAGGTGAGCAAGCTCGGTCAGGCGGGCTGGCCCGCCTCATATAAACAGGCCCTTAGTCAACCCATCTCAAAAGGTGGGCTCGCCCTAGGTCGAGCCTGGGTTAGTTTAGATAAAGTGTAAATGCAAAGCTGGGGCGAACCTGGGTTAGTTTCTTCAGGACGCATGCGTAGTGGCAGAAATGTTGCCGAGTGCAAACAAAGCAAAGCGCGAATGCACAGCTTTCTCATTGTTCACATGAAAAGCTAACCTCGCAGCAGTATCGATAAACAAAACGACCGTAATGGCTGGGGCGATGACATGAAAAATCACATGTTTCTAAAAACCCCCGCAAAGTCGCTTGCTTTAAGCTTGGTTTCCACTATGAGTTAACGTGAGTTAATTTGAGATAATTTTGTGATCCGAGTTGGTTTAAAAATTATCTCATAGTGGAAACGCTCATGAAAAATTATCTCATGAAAATTAACTCACGCTAACTCACGTTATCTCATGAGCTTGGAAACAAAATTTTTTGATTTCAAGCTCATGAGTTAACTTGAGATAACATCTTATCAAAAGAAGCCGATGCGTGGGAGGGGAAGGTGCTATAATTTGCACTGAGGTTCTTACGCAACGCACTTGCACTGAGTATTACTTTAGATGTTGAAAACAGTTTTCTTTACTAAAAAAATTAATTGTGAAATAAGAGAAACATTTTCTCATTTCTAAGATCCTTTTGCAAGTGGTCGTATTCACCAAACGCATATCTTTTTTTGGTAGACTCTCCGTACAGAAAACCTTGGCGCAGATCGCGAACGGCACTTCTAGCAAAAAATATTTTCCTTCTAAGTATTCTCAAAAGCAGAAGTAAAATAAGTTGTTCTTGTAAGACGCCCGCCATAGCTGGAAGACTCAAATAAAATGTGATTTCTGAAATTTCAATACTTAATTCTATCTCAAGTGGAAACCGAATCGGTACATGGGTTAATTTTGAGATAGCTCGCGTTATCTCACGCTATTTCACACTATCTCAAGTTAACTTGAATTTAGGACCATGAGTTAATTTTCAATTTAGCTCAGAATTATCTCACGTTAACCCATAGTGGAAACCAAGCTTTAGCTCGATATCAAACTAACCCAGGCTCGCCCTTGATGTCTCTTATACTACAAAGTCGACAGTTTCCAGTGTAAACGCATCAGGGTTCGACCCAGGTTACTTTTAGCCTAGAGCGAAGCCGGGTTAATTTGTGTACTGTGAACAGGGCTTATGTATTTATTACTGGGGACACGGCTTCTGGTAGCCAGACCCCTGTCTGGAGCACAGGCTAGGCTTCTGCTCCCAGGCGGCACTCCGTCGACCTGCTTATTAGCAGTCTTCCCTTTTTGGCAAACTATTTTCAATAAATTTTGGCTCTTATATTTTCATCGATAATGAAAAACCATATTTTGGGCACTCTGTGAGAATGCTCGGGAAAATTTGGTCTCATCTTGCGATTTAAACGATTCTTAAAATTAAATAAATATCTGGTGTGACAGACAAACTAGGATCATGCATGCACCAATTGTTTTACGAAGCAAATAATTCCAGAGCTGCAATAAAGGGCGACAGAAGCCTTGGCCCCACTTTTGTCAGCCTTGCCCCCTCTCCACTTTCAAAGTCGTGGCGTAGAACCTGACAGTCAATCTGACACACAGCAAAAAGGCTTCAAAAACAAGGATTTCCTTGATAAGTCCTTCAGGCTGACATTGTGAGTGGCGTGGATATGCTTCCAATGGCCAGAACTACTCGCTTGATTTTGACAATACCTTTTGTAAAACCACTTAAAAGGGGGTTTTGAAGTAACCCTTCATGCACCCTTAGCAGAACCTTGAAATAACATTTACGTAATACAAAAAACATATTAACAGACACTGATGCAATCACAGCACAAGATGCAATTGTCACGTGCTATTGTCCGGAAGGGAAAATTTCTGCAACAAATCAATGCATGCCTGAGGAAATAAACATGATTTCATATTTGCAAAGATTATGTTGAGATAAATAGCGCTGATATGGTAGCGAACAACTCCAAGAAGAATATATCACAAATTACATACTGTACATTCTGCACCACATGCCAACCTGCACCACAAACCAAAACTTCCTCGAGTGAGTTCCTTTACAAATTTTCTAAAAATGAAGTATTGATGTGCATTGTGAGCAAAAGCAGAATAGGTACAAAAAGCACTACAGTACTAATAATTAGACTAGCTCCAGGCGCGGATCTAGGCCGGTTGCACAGGTTTCAAAAAACCGCTCAAGTTCTAAGAGCTATGTTTCTCTTTAAATCTTGAATTTTTGATCTAAATTTCAATTGCAACAATTGCTGCATTTCTCACTGACTACAGTTTTTCTGTTTATATACTGAATTGAACCTTCACAAGAGTTTGACAGAGTTCCCAGCTTTCTACTTCATCTTTTATCTCAAAGTATCCAAGGAATTCAAAATCGAGCAAATCAGCAGCCATTCGATGTGACAACTTGAAGTATGCTATCTATGCGCCAATATTGAAACTGGTGGCTATTGTTTTCTGAAAACCTGTGAAAACCGGCGCCCATATATTTCCCTTATGCGAGAAAAACCAGTGACTAAAAAGCATACTCGACATCGATATCCATAGCTCGAAAGGATGGACGCTTTCAAACAAAATGATACAAAATGGAATACGGATGCAAATAAGAATCTGAGGTTTTTATATTAAGGGGAGTTGACGTGTTTTCTCGGAAAAATTCATGAAAATTAGAATCAAAGTTGCAAGAAGAGGATCAAAGGCCATGCTGAATGGCGTAAAATTCTGGCATGATCCAAAAATTTGGCTAGATCCGCGCCTGAGCTGAAAAGAGTTTATCGGCCAACATGTTCGCTCGCCACGATAGTAACTGGCAAATCATTCACCGAGCTAGTAGCCTATGTGCAGACTCAACGGATCGGTTAACTACTCGACAGTTCTTTGTGAGAGACTTGAGTCTGCACGCAGGCTACGTGTGTTATGCTACCAACAGTTATAGCTTCTGAATTTCCGATCAAAATGATGGTCAAACTACTGAGTCTGCCATGGGATATTAGTCCACAGTCTTTCAAAGAAACAAGGGTAGACACAGACATTAAGTGTTAACATTTGTGGTCATCTTTTCAGGCATAGAAAAATCTTTATCTCTTATTTTAGTGTATTATTTCATTATAGAAAAAAAGAAGCGTTTGAGTTGAATGTGAAAAATATCATTGTTTGCGTCTACAGTTTCCTGTAACACGGGCGTTGCGGCTACTAGAAAAGGGCAGGAGCCAGCCATAAGGGGGCCAATAATTTCAAGATAGCAATTTTCTTGCTGTGGTTCAAGCAGGGGCGGATATAAGCAACAATGATCGGGGGTGTTAGGCACTAATTTTGGTGCCACACCCTTAAAATCGCTGGAAATGATGGAAACGCCCATTTTTGAAATTTGGTTTTTAACTGTGGCGTAGCCAGGTTTGGAAGATTGGTAGGTCCAAGAGGACAATATTTTTGCTAATCACACTCCTAAGAATTTGGGAAC